TTTTTTTTCGGACCCGGGGATTGAACTCAGGCCTTTGAGCTTGCCAGGCAAGCGGTTATTCTACTGAGCTATCTCCCCAGCCCCTCCCCTTTCTTATTTCTTGTAAAAAATATGTATATTGGGCCGGGGTTGTAGCTGAGTGGTACAGTGCCTGCCTAGCAAGCACGAGGCCCAGAGTTCAATTCCTGTTACCAAAAAAGAAAATAAGAGGACCAAAACAGACAGAATGCCTAAATCACCGAATGGGAAGAGTTGAGAATTTTCCGTATTTCATTTATATGTTCATTTTTATATTTTCTTAGCCTCTCCCCAACAGATACTTAAGTGATGCTGTGATCTGAGACCTTAGGCAGAATCATAATGCTACTGTAGCTTCAGCCTGGAATTTCCTTGTGCAAGGGGTCTCAGAATACATGATAGGGAAGCCTTTCCTTGGATGGGCACCCTCTACTTGACCTTTATATGTTTTTTTTTTGAGGGTCATGTTTTGCTTTATAGTTGAATACTACTCTAGTGCATGTTGCCCTTCACTAGGCTTCTGTAATCTTCATTGAAGTTAACTAAGCCTACATACCAGATATGATGGAAGGTAAAGGATTCTTCTTTGTTCGTACTCCATTAAGGTAGGTTGGAGAGTTAATATTTAGTATGTTAGGGCAAACAACATTTTTGTTCTTTGAGTCATTACAGATGTTTATCATATTTTGCCTCAGGGAATATAGTGGGATGGAAAGTGAAAGTTGGAATTAAGTAACAAGATAATAATGTATTTTCCTTTCTTACCCAGTTTCCTTCTGTACTGAATAGTCACGGGCCGTTCACCCTGTCTGGCCTGGACGGACCTTCCACTCCTGGCCCGTTTTCCCCGGACCTGCAGAAGATATAGTGTATGCACTTGTGGTGTAAAAGACTCAAGGAACACAGAAATGGAGACATTCAACCTGATGGCATTGAAATGAGAAGTTGTCTTTATCATTTTTGCCATTTCCCACTGAAACACCTTTTTCAGGCTTCTCTTTGAATAGATTTCAAGTTAGACTGTGTGAAATGCCTTAATTGGAGTCCACCTCCATATCCTTATCTTTTTTTATGTTGAGCTAAGTGCTAATGTTATTTTGGAGGGGTGTAGCTGCTGTGCTTTGCAAGAGTGATTAAGGATGAAGTTACTCCTCCTGCCTATCAGGATTTTTTGGCTAGTAAGAAAATTGTGCTTAGTTTATTATTCTAAGAAAAACTAGTTAAATGAAATTGGTTGTGTCTTTAGGACTGAGTGTGCTCTGCTGAACAAGCGAACATGAGCTGTTTATCAGTAGTGGGAGAAAAATAATCCTTTCCTAGTCATACAAAATAAGATTGGAACAGTACCATTGTGCAGACTTTGTTTTGCTATGAATTGTAGCGTGTGGCTATGGAAGCAGTTGTACAGGAGGCATCTTGTTCACTTGTATGCAGTGGATCTCCTAGCCACATACATGGTCTCATCTTACCTGTTGAGCACAAGGGTTATTCTGTATAACATAAGATTTTTAAGCTTGGGATTTAAGAGGGTTTTAAGACCATCGTGTGAGGTTATAGGACCTCCTGTCTAGTATAGAAATGCTGCTGGCTGGTATGTTTGCATATCCACAGAGCATAGTGTGGTCAATGATGACTTTTATCAGGATGGACAAGTTCAACTGAATACCTTAAGATAATACGAAGGGCCTGTCCAAGTATTAGAAGATGCTGGGGGGAGGGACTGTGTCTTGTCCCTGATCATTTTACCCCATTTTCTTCTGTAGATTTGTCACCTTTCCTTCTAAACCTAAAGCTTTGAGGTGTTGTGACAATATTAAATGCCATTGAGAAAGTGAAACCTTCAGTCAATAATGAAACAGATGTGCTTGTTCAGCTTCTTTCTTTCTTGCTTTCTTTCTTTGTTTTTTATTGTATTTGGTACAGGGTCTCACTACACAGATTGGACTCATAGTGATCCTCTTGTTTTTAGCCTCCCCTGTGCTGGGATTATGGGTGTGCCACACCTGGACTCAGACACCGGCTCATTGTGCCCAGGGGCAGGGCCAGTGCGGCATGTGGTACCGGGGATCAAACCCTGGTCTCTGCGCTTGCCTAAGCAGGTGCTTTGTCCGCTAAGCTATCCTATTGGCCCCAATCTTTTCTTTTTATTAGTTAAGGTGGATTAGTTCATTTGGCAATATTCGTACAAAGGAATTAAATTGTTTTAATTAACATTGGAAAATGCAGGCCTTTATCTCTGTATTACCAAATTTATAAATTTGTTTTTGTTTGTTGTTTTGAGACAAGGTCTCACTATGCAGTTCGGGCTGGCCTTGAACTCTTATAGCCCAGGCTGGCCTCAAACTTATGGCGATCTCCTGCCTCGGTCTCCTGAATGCTAGGATTGTAGGCATGCACCACCATGCCTGGCTGTTTTTGTACTGGGAATCAAACTCAGGACCTTGTGCTTGTCAGACAGGCACTATACCACTGAGCTATATCCCCGGCCCCTGGCTCTAATTTATAAAATGTTATCCTATAGTAGTCAGTGCCAGGTGCAGATAGATCTTTTGGTCCCCCAAACTGAATTGGTGCCAGTAGCACGTTGGACTCTTGAAAACTTTGGCTCTTAAGTCCTGGTCTAAATTATATGCTGCCACTACCACCATGCCACTCAGCTAGCTTTTGTTTAAGTTATGTAGACGTTTATTTAGCTCACAGTTTTGGAGGCAGAAAGTCAGTCTTGTTAATCTCTCTGATTCTTCTGATCACTGGGTAGGTGTGTTGAACTCCTCCTCTAACACTGACTGAGCCACATGAGCTGAGTGGAATGAGGGGGCAAGGATTCGAGGGCTTGAAATTACATTGATACTAATCAGTATCTTCTAGATAACAATATTTGCTTTAAATTTACTTACAGACAGTGTAGAAAAGCTCTTAGCTAAGGCATTTAAGCTAAATCATTTGAGGCGGAGGGGGAATATTCAGTGAGCTGCCTTTTGAAGTATGATATTGGAGACCTGTTACTGGTTCATTTGTGGTTATTGGCTGCAAGTTCTGTTCCGAAGATGTGCAATAGTAGTGTTGAGAGGTAGTGTTCAGCAGTGATGGGAGCAGACATAGTGAACTATTTTTCCCCTGTTGAATTAGTTTGCATGCCTGTTTGAAATTAGGCCCCTTAGCAACAGCACTTTGTAATAGTTTTATTAGGTTAACATTTTATATAGTAAATAAATATTTGATGGCTGACTTAACCAGATGTTTTA